TTACATGCAGTGTTAGTGTGGTTAAATATCTTAGACACGAAGTATTTTACATATAAAACGATTTTAAAATTAATATTAATAATGAAAATTATATACAGAATGCAAGGCAATTATATATGGTCATATATTTGTTGTTTATTCATTTAAGGAACTATGTAATTACTAAATATACACAATTATAAGAATATTTACAAAAACAATCAATACTATCGGTAAAAAATAACCATCAGAAGCAACAGAAGGTGGTCTATAAACTAATCACTAAAGAAATGCTCAGTTGTAACAAAGATAGACAAAGCCAAAAGCTTGGGTTCGTTCGGAAAAATATTCCCATAACATTTTTTGCATAATCACTTTACCATTGCATTAATCCACCATAAGAGCTTCATTATCAATAAAAACAATAGTTTACTAGTTGATTATGCAGTTTAAGTGTGTTATTAAGATGATTACGCCCAAAGAGCAACATAATCCAGCCAGAGGGTCTCTGGTCCAAGGGATGGAAGTTTCTTGATGGGCATAATCATTTAATAACACTAGCGGTACATAACAGATTGTATTTTTCACTTCACATAATATAAAATCTAAAATTTTTACTGCACGTACAAAATATAGCGGCATATTTTGTACGTACCTTTGGTGTTACCGGATGATAATGCTCTCTGGCTGGATTATGTTGTCCTCCTGGCGTAATCATTTTAATAATAACACCCTTGCTGCATAAACAACTATTAAACCATTATTTTTAGTTGATAATGAAGCGCGTATGGCAGGAGGCACGCTCACTTGTAAATGAGAATTTAAACCAACAAATATGTGTGCCATAGATCTTGTTTCTCTCTCTTTCGTACACGCCGCAGCCCGAGAGTTTGTACAAGAAAGTACAGATAGCCATAAATTTATCAAAAATAGAAAATTACCAGGACCAGACGGAATAACGAACAGACTTCTAACACACGGAGGAGAAAGTATGACATTAGAGATGACAAAACTTATACAAAAACTAATATTGCACTGCAAGATACCAGACGCATGGAGAAACAGCACAATGATACCAAGAAATGAGGCAAAGAAGATCCCAACAATTATATAGGTATAAATCTACTGAACACGGTACTTAAGCTTACTACAAAAGTCCTAATTAACAAAATCAATAAACTAACAAGATCCTGTGTAGACGCCTTATTTGTACTAAGACAAATCACAGAAAAGGCCATTGAGTACAATAAACCAGCATATCTATGTCTTATAGACCTGACAAAAGCCTTCGATCGCATCCAAGCTGAAGACGTCTTACACCTACTGTATAAAAAAAACATACCAATCAATATTATACAAACCATCGAAAACATCTACTTCCATAATCGAATACACGCAAAGATAAATGGAAAACTAATACTGTTTATACCAGTACAAAGCGGAGTCAAACAGGGTGACTCCTTAGGCCCACTTCCCTTTAATATAATAATGGACAAAATAATGCAAACAGTACCTAAAGGTCATGGTTACAGAATGGGGAACAAAAAAATCCAAATATTGTGTTATGCAGACGACGCCGCATTAATCGCCGAAACAGAAGACGAGCTCTTAAGATTAACATATATCTTTAATACAATAGCTAACTTCGATAAAGCTTTCCTAAGATCCGCTATGGAACGAATGTTATGCAGTTACAAGCAAGAAGAAATTAGGTGGATGATTGGTATGACAAATAAGGATGATATTAAGAAGTAAGATATCAGGGGAAGTCTAGGAAATGAGAGAGCATACAATAAAATGGTGAGGAGATGTTCAATATTGAAATGATGATCACCCAATACGAAAGATTATTAGTTTGCAAGTCCTTGGAAGCAGTATGATATAAGACATAAGAAGACGCTTAGGCAAGACATTTCCACGAAGAAAAGACAAATTGGTATGACCAAAAATAAAAACTTATGAAAAGATGAAATTAGGGAAGCATAGGAATGCAATTATGATACTATAGGACCTTCTGGAAGAAAGCAGTCCACTTTATTCATTAACTAGATTTTATTGTATAGACGATATTCCGGGTGTTCAATAAAAAGGTAGCATTGGCACCAGTTGTATACAAAAATATATTTTAGCGTTATTTATATTAGCTAACTACATAATTCTCGTTTTAACAAGACAGAATATCCGTTTAATTGCAAAAGGTCACGACGTTTACGTTGTTTTACCTTGTTTGTCTATTACAATACCAAAGACGAGCGACATTGAAACATTGGATTTTATTATTTTATTATTTTTTAACAAAACGATATTACACAATTTAATTAACTTTGATCAAAGATAGTTGCTAAAATGTATTAACTGTCATTCTAGGGTAGTTTTCAATAATTCATATTGCATTGTGATTGTTAAATTAAAGAGGTGAAATTTGAATAAAAAAAAATAGTCAATAGTATTAAAATGCAACAAGAAAATAGCTTCAGAATAATGTAAACGGGTTTAATAAAGATTCAGCGTGAAAATTATAGAAAATATCAAAAAAAGGGGAGTCGAAACAAAATAGGAAGAATATGTAAGATCGTTTGCAAAAATATCGTAAATCAAAAGTTCATGAATCAAAAATGAGACGTTAAAATGTCTTGACCAGAGGAATACTTAAATGCAACTATATACAGGGTGTTTTAAAAAGGTATGTCATAAATTAAATAACGCATTCCGGGGACAAAAATAAATTGATTGAGTGCAACTTACCTTAGTACAAAAATGTACACAAAAAAAGGTAAAGCCCTTTAAAGCTACAAAATAAAAATTGTTTTTTTACATTATGTCCTAAACTACTTGACATTTTGTAATAAAAATGGACACGTTACTTTATTGATCTGAAAGCATTTTTCATACAAAAGAAACAACAAAATCTAAGCGTACAGAAAAATTTTAAGGGGGGTTGTGCAGCCCTAAATCTCCCCAAACTTTTGAGTATGTTCAAATCAAATGAATTTTGTGGCATCATTAGAATCATCATCCCTGGAATTCGTGATTAAATTTATGACATATCTTTTTGAAACACCCTGTATTTACTACAATACAGTCGAAATAATGGCAAAATGTTCTTTATAAATAAAGAAATGTAAAGAAGAATAGATATTTCAGAATGAACAGTGAGAGTTTTTAAGATCAAATCAACTAATTTTGCATTACAACAAAATCAAATTCAGTTTGTACAAACCCTTAAAAATAAATGTTGATTTATAGATTTATTTTAGACATAGAACATACATAAATGAAGATCTAAATAATGTAGAACGTGTCGCAAAAAGGTAAATAATTTGGTGAGAAAACCAGGGAAAGATAGATAGAAATCACAAGAAAGAAATGGGGAAAACTAAGGCAACTAGCAATAAAACACTTGGCATCATTAAAATAGGGACAGAAGTAGGGGCCTTACAAAGCACCAAGACAGACTGGTTAAAATTTGAATATAGTAAATAAAACGTAATTTTACATAATAATATTTTATTACGCCATTATTCAAGGAAAACAGATGAAAAATTATGAGGGAGAACCATGTCCAGCAGTGGACAAAAGAAGATTGAATGATACTATCATTCACTATGATAGATCTGAATAGATAAAAGATCCCAAAATAATGTTCTTTGATTCTAAAAGTGATATTCATTTCATTAATAGACAAAATTATCAAAAAAGTGCACACCCTAGGGAATATAAAAAACTGATAGGACAATTAGATGTCATGTTAGAAAGTTCGATATCAAAGTACTGTACCAGTTCTAACGTGGTTTTAGAAGGTATTCTAAGAAAAACAAAACTGTCTCACACTAATTTTATGACAAACCAACCAGTAATAAATTATTGCAAAAATAGTACTAGGACATTAGGTACAGAAGCAAAAAAAGGGTATGAAAATAAATGAAGATAAAACAGAATATATCAAAACATAAAAAGGAAAATGATAAGAAAAGGTTTAAAGTTTAATAATGTAGAATTTGCTTCAAGGGGATAAAAACAATTTCGTAAAGTCACTGCAGGGGATGAAAAATAGAAATCCAGTGAACAGTTGTAACTTGGTTTTAAGATTATAAGGTATTCTGAGAAAAAACAAAACTGTCTCACACTAATTTTATAATAAACCAACTAGTAATAAATTATTGCAAAAATAGTACTAGAAAAATTAGGTAAAGAAGAAAAAAAGAGTATTAAAATAAATGAAGATAAAACAAAACATATCACAACATAAAAAGGAAAACAGACAGTTATTTAAGGGTAAAAAACTTCAAATTCTAAACAATTTTCCGATTTCTAGGACAGACAATTAAACAAATAGATAAATTACGAATAAACAAAAAACTGACTAAGGTGATATCAGATCTGATGAAAGAACACAACATTTAAAAAATACGAAAACTCCGCAGGAATGCCAAAATTAAAATCTACAAGATCCTAGTTAGATCTAAAATAATATACAGTGAAAACAATCAAAATAAACAAGAAAGAAGTGATCAGCCCAAAAATACCAGAACATAAAATTATGAAAAGATAAAATAAAAAATATTGATTTATTATCATTTAAATCTTACAATTATAGTATAAAAAAATTAACAGAAAAAAAACACAATTATGGGCATTATACATAAACAGAAATCATATATTAAGAAAATAGCCAAGAAGGATAATTACAAAAATAATCATAAACTGAAAGACAATAAAGCAGAAGAGAAGTCCAATAAGGTGGAAAAAGACATAGAGATAATGTAGAAGAAGATATAAAATTTATTATACTTATATATAAATATATAGTCTCTTTTATTTAAATTAAGGTTTAATTATATTTGTTATGTTTTTTTTATGCGCTTCCGTTAAACGTTTTTATAATTTTTTTGTCATTGGGGGTAGTAAATTTCGATGTGCGCATTTTTCCGTGAGGCATCGCAAATGTATGCGTGCACTACACCGAAAATTATACACATACATAGAGCGAAAAATCCCTTCACCAAAATTCGTTCGCTTACCAAAACAAAGAATAACAAAAATCGCTACACTGTTCACCATTTTCGTGGATATCGTGGCAAATATCACTTGAGATGGTCCAGACACTAATGTCACACGCAGGAGCTAAAAGCACTTCTCCATGTACGAATAGGAAAACGAAATTCTCCTCAAATGTGACAGCAAGAGTGCGCGCCCGGTTTTGTCGCCGCAACAAGTGCTTAAACTGACTGGGTCCGCTGTTGAATTGAAAGTTTCTCTTAAGTCCGACTTGCCAGTGGGGACTAGAAGAGAAAACCAGATCCCCACTTTGGTTTTGGTAATATTACTTGTGTTTTTCCTTGGCTTTACTACACTATTGTAAACATTCACTTCTTCGCGAATTTCGCGAAGTCCTTGTTCTAACGCCTTCGACTAGGCAATAAACATTTTCCAGTGCAGCACACGCCCACTATTCAGTCATAGATTTAAAGATTAGCGGAAGTAAAAATGGTATTCTATTCAATTTTATACAGTTTAAAGTTCGAACATTTTCATATTACCTGAACGATCAAAAATAAAACCATAAACAATCAATACAAACAATAGAAAAATCTCTTCTTTCTTATATTTATTTGAGTAGTTTTTTAGGTCTATAATTTAAACACATTTTAATAGTCCAGGAGCCAGGGCTGTTTTGTGGCCGATTAAACTCCACATAGTTTCAAAATGTATTTTCATGTATTTTCGTCTGCCGAATTCGAATTTCAAACTTGCTGTTGTGTCGAAAGTGACAGAGATTTATTATAAAGAATTTAATTGTTTAAATATAACTAGTAAACTAACAAATATAAATCATTTTTACAAAATGCAATTTGTTCCTTTAAAAGATAAAATACAAAATGATGGTTGTTAAACCGTGATACAATAAATAAAACTGGAGATATTGCAAAATTAGTGCAAAACATTGCAAAATTACGGCATTTAGGCGATTTTTCACTTGTAACTGAGATGCATTTTCAGTAAAATATCTGTATAATAGTCGAATTAAAGGAAAAAACCACTATATTTAAAACTAAATTTTAAATATAATCAAAATATTATTTATAACAAAGTTAAAGCAATTATAAACGTAAGTAGAAGTGGGGTATCTGTAGACGACGGAATAAAAAATTTATTTATTTATTTATTTGGAAGTTACTTATGAAGTTAGTTGGGCTTCAAACCTCTTTGTTTTTGTTTGTAGTCATGTATTAGTAATCTATTAATATGTTCTCTTCAATAGAAGATAAAAAGTGGATTGAGAGAGAAGAATATTGACATTCTTATTTCACATGTAAGGGTCCACAGGTACCCGTTAATTTAGGGAAACTGTGGACCCTGACGGGGAGACTGTGTTCTGCTTGGTAAACTTTATTTTGTGGTTATTATAATGAAAGGTGTAACTGTGGATTAAAATAAAAGCAACATTAAAAATGCAGAAACTAAAATTTTTATTAAAAACCATGAAACAACAAACATATAGGCAATATTCTTGAATCTCCTTAAATCCTCACAAAACGTAACGACGTTTTCATCTTCTGATTTTGGGTCGTTCAGTATTCCTAATCACGCCTTCTTCGCTGCATTAATTTGACATATTTGTCCAATCGAATGAGTAACTGCTCGTTTGTTTATTCGTACCACGATGTATTTTCCTGGTATTAGATTATCGTCAGTGGGTTCTTGAACTTGAGGTTCGGCACCTTCTTGCATATTGTCATTTGGAGCTTCATGTGAGTCATCACTCTCTGCATAAACGACTTCTTCGGAATTTAATTAATCTTTCTTTAATTCATCTTTAACAACATCTTTAATTTTTCAAAAAAAACATTTTTGAACCATTAAAACAATACTTGTTCAGTCATCCAGCCATTTTAGGATACGTAGTAAGATGTCTCTGGATACTCATCTGTACCAAACATATTGTCCCATAACCTTTTGCCCTTGCGGAAGATCATAGGTGGCAATATGCATCCGTTGGCATTAGCACATGCCAAAACTGTTCTGAGCCTGCAGTTTGCCTTTGTGCTATTTCTCCGATTCCAGTTACAACCTTAATACGGCTAGGATCATAATTAAAAGCCGTTTCATCTGCATTCCATACCCTAGCAAGGTATTGTTGAAGTTGTAAATTATTCATAATAGTTTCCAGTTAATCAAAGAAATCGTAAACAACAAATGGGTCACTTTGTTGTCTTACACGTGATGCTTCCATTATCTGAGGTTTGTTAATAGAAAGTCAACTGAATAAATTAAGGAGGGGAGAACTGCTTATCTCAAGTTGGTCATTCAGAATTATGTCTGTATTTTTTAAATTGTTGATTTCAATAAATTCTAATAAAAATAGCTTAAGGCCTTTATTTTGAATGTTAAAAATTTGAAATTCGTCATTAAAAGAATGCTTATGGTTTAGAAGGTGAAGTGCGTATGTAGAATCAGTTTTTCTATTATTGAAAGCCCCTTTATGTTCTGCTATATGTTTGAAAAAAGTTCTACCAGTTTGACCGATGTAAGTTTTTGGGCAGTCGCCACATTAAAGTTTGTATACACCGAGTTGTTTTTTGTTCTAAAAGCTGGTGTTAGATGAAAATTTAGTGTGTTCTCAAATAATTTCTAATATTTTTTTGATAGTTTATATGACAGAACTGTATAAAAAAAATTAAAGGTTTTATTGGGTGATCAGGTTTATGTAATTTAATAAAAGAGTTTAATTTAGGAGGCTGTGGGTTTATGATGTTAAGGTATTTCTGTTTTATTGTATTTAATATTGGTTTTGAATTTTCTAACGCTAGTTTAATTTGTTTTTGATACTTTTCTGTTGGATCTTTGTTTATTGTTTCGATATTTTGAATATTTAAAAATTCTATTGTTTTGTTATTATATGATTTGTTTATTCGGTATTTTAGCTACTAAAACTTTAGATTATAGCCAAGAAAGTTTTGATGTATGATATCTGCAATTTTTAAAAACCATTTGATTGCTCAAAACTGGTCTCTTTGTGGAGTTTTTAATAGTAAAAAGAACTGGAGAAAATAATAGTAAACCTAGATCTGGAGAGCTAAATTATATATGTATACATCCCTGGGGCACACATCTTTTTATCTTTATGTCATCTGTTAAATTATCCACGATTCTAACAGCTGCAGTTTGTTGGTTAAAATTGTACAAAATATAAAATTCTCTTGACTTTTTTGTACTTTATTACTTAATTTAAATGCACAAATTAGACAAATTTAAATTGATATACTAACCTATTACTAAATCTAAAATACAGTCAGAGACATCTCCACGAATATCGAAAAAATTTAAATATGGTAAAAGATTTATTTCCTTTTAGGGTATTATCGACGAACTGATTGATTTTAGCATCCGCTGGGAATATAAATGGCTCACAAGAGTGTAAGTGAATTAATTTAAGATGATTTCGTTGAAACTAGTAGTGAAATATATATACGATAAATGCCAAATACTCACATTTTGTGTTAAAATTATGCTATAGTTTATTCCATATTTTGTAACGAGTAAATCATCATCATCTTATGAAATAGATAAAAGTCTTAAGATCAGAAATTGAACAACAATTTAAAGTCAATTGTAATTCTTAGAAATAAAGCACAAGTGAGGGACAGTACTTGAGAGGAGAAATTATCCACTGATAACACTCCCAATACTAACACTAACAAATTAAATTAATGTAGGATTATAATTGGAAACTTAAATTGAAATGAAAATTAAAATTAAAATTGAAATTAGTGAATAAAGTCTATTGGCCACTGTCTCTTCAATCTTCGTCTGACTTCTGGTTGGAGGTGTAGTCTTGTTTCCTCGTTGGGGTGGACTGGAAGATGTTCCAAATAATTTCTTGTTAGTCTGCTAATTTCGTCTTTAACGAACGGTATACCAGAGTCGTACCACAGTGCGTTGAAAACCATTCTGAGTATTTTGGATTGGATTCTCTGAATGATTTTGGTATTAGAAGGCTTTGCACAGCCCCATAGTTGCACTACATATGTCGATATAGGCTTTATTATACACTTATACAAGAGAAGTTTATTATCTGTAGATAACTGTGATTTTAGGCCTATTAGCCAATTCATTTGACGTATTTTAATGTTGATTTGGATTTTTTTTTTGCCAAGATGTGTGCTTTCCAGGTGAGCTTTTGTTGAAGTGACATTCCCAGGTATTTGACTACTGTTTTTACTATAATAAGTAGTAATATGTTGTTCAGTCTGATTTTCGGACATGTTGTTCCTATTGGTGAATGTAATTTGATTAGACTTAGTATGATTAATTTTGATTTTCCATTTATTCATTCAGTCTTGTAGTAGGTTCAGGTGTTTTTAAAGGTTTCCTGATGCCACTTGGGGGATCATCATCGATTGATATTATGGCGGTGTCATCTGAAAACATGGCTACTGTGGTCTTATTGAGATATCAGCAGTGTATATGAGGTACAGGAGGCGACCCAGGACACTTCCTTGAGGGACACCGGATTTTATGGGATAATAATGAGAGGCTTCTGTAAGGAATTTGACTTCAAAATGACGTTCTGTGAGGTATGATTTTAAGAGTAAATAGTGAGGACTGGGAAAGGATATCTTAAGTTTATACAGGAGGCCGTCATGCCAAACAAGATCGAAGGCTTATTCTATATCCAGGAAGGCAGCAGTGCAATTTTTTTTCTCTTCGAGGCATACATTAATGTTTTTAACAATCCTTTGACATTGTTGTAGAGTTGTATGGGTTTCGCTGAAACCAAACTGGTGTGTTGGAATCACTGAATTAATTTCGATGTCTTCTGAGATTCTTTGAAGCAAAAGTCTTTCTAAGATTTTTGACATTAAAAGGAAGTAAGCTGATTGGTCTATATGAAGTAGTAATATTTGGTGGTTTAATTTGTTTACTTACCATAATTATTTGTGCCAACTTTCAATTAATCGGATAGTAGGCTAATCCTATGCTACTATTATATATCATTGTTAGTAGGACAATTAGTTATTAGTTATTGCATCTAGAAATTTGTTCTTTCACATTATTAGGAGTAAAGCATTTGATTGGTAGCATCATTGGGCATAGAGTGTCTAAAAAGTTTTTAACTTGTTCTTCGTTATTATTGTTATTAAGTTCAGGTGCACCAAAACGTGTGAGAGATGTTCAGCAAAGATTGATGCCTTTTCTTGTTCAGTTTTTCCCCAGCTTCTATCGGCTTTCCTTAGAAGTGGTATGTGCTGTGCAGGCCTCTTGAATGATTTCATTGCTGTCCAGATGCTGTGGTCTTCTTTTAACAGGCTGTTGATGAATAGTTCAAATGTATCATTCCTCGCGTCTTGTAGTGCAGTTTT